ATGTATTTCGCATAATGTCCAGGGTTTCAATTCACCAAATAAGCGCAAAACAGCCTTTCTTCGATATACACAATTAGGAGCTAAAATTATTTTATTACAGGAAACACATTTTGCAGCCGCCAAACACCCGACATATTTTCATAAATCCTATAGGCAGGGGTATTATACTTTACATTCCTCCAAAAGTAGAGGAGTAGCTATTTTTCTACATAATTAATTTCCCTTTGAGGTCCAACATGTATATCATGATCTGGACAGTAGGTTTATCATTCTTAAAGGCACCCTTCCAGGTCGAGAACTTACTATTGCAAATATCTATGCACCAAATTCGGCACAAGCTTCCTTTTTTTCTAAATTTTTTGACGTCCTAGATAAGTTCTTGTGTCCCCCCATCTAGTGGTGGGTGGGGATTTTAACCTGGTAGCAAACTCTCTTTTGGACCGGAGCTCCTCCTCGCAATCTTCCCAGGCTTTCCCAAAATCCCTTACTAAGAAACTAGATGCCCTCCAGTTGGTGGACGCCTGAGAGAGCGCGCAATGTGGGAGCCAGGGATCATTCATTTTATTCTCACCCACATGACTCTTATGCCAGATTAGACTATATCTATTGTACCCCTATTTTATTAGCGAATTCTAGGACAGCTTGCATTCACCTGAGCCCATGGTCGGATCACGATATTATGGCTTTATCTATCATGTTTATAGGATTGGCACCTACCCCCTTCTCTTGGAGACTTAATGACTCTATGCTTACTGATATTGACTCTCGCCAAGAGGTGGTTACATCTATCCGGGAATACTTTCAGTCTAACTCTACTCCTGATATATCTTCAGCCACACTATGGGTAGCCCATAAGACGGTCCTACGTGGCCGCCTTATCTCCATGGCCTCATCCAGGAATAGAAAACTATGGCAACAAATACTACTTCTTACCCGAGAATTAGAAGCACATTATAGAAGTCATATTGCTAATCCATTTTTTCTTAATAAACAGTTGTTGTCCCAAAAGCATTTAGAATTGAATACTCTGCTTTCCCAAAAGACTGAAAAAGCTCTCCGCTGGTCGAAGGCCTCGTTCTTGTTACATAGCAACTCAGCATCCACTATGTTTGCAAGGAAATTGAACCACTCTCTGCGCCCCCCCACATGTCTATAAGTTGCGCACCACCTCGGGTGCTATTTCATCTCTATCTCAGGAAGTTTTCGGTATTTTTGAAAAGTTTTATTCTGGTCTATTAGCTCCTCCCCAGTCAGATTCTGTTCCTTCATCTGACTCATGGCTGGATTCTATACCCCTCCCTGCCCTTACACCTTCTCAGATTGCCTCTCTTAATGCCCCTTGTACTATAGAGGAAATAACTTGAGCGATTAGTGCGCTAAAAAGTTCTACTGCACCCGGTCCTGACGGATTCACCGCTAGTTATTATAAACATTTTGCCTCTACGTTGGCTCCCTATTTGATAACATTATTTAATGATGTTTTGCAAGGGGGTAAGTTCCCGGAGGAGATGCTGTTGGCTAATATGTCTTTAATACCCAAACCACAGAAAGACCACTGTTTACCACAAAACTATAGACCAATCTCAGTAATGAATAACGATCTGAAAATATTTAGCCGCATTTTGGCGGACAGGTTGGCCCCTATTATCTCCTCTTTGGTCTCTCCAGACCAATCGGGTTTTATTCCTGACAGATTCATTACTGATAACATTCGCCTCAGTCTAAATGTTATTCAAGATGCCAATTTACATTGTAAAGAGGTTCTGCTGATGAGTCTTGACATAAACAAGGCCTTTGACAGTGTGCTTTGGCCCTATTTATTTTCCTTGCTATGGAAAATGGGCTTCAGTGATGGGTTTTTGGCTGGTGTACACGCCCTATACGACTCTCCTAAAATGAGAATAAGGCTCCCTGGCTGTAATTCTGACTTTTTTACATTGGGTAGAGGCACCCGTCTTGGCTGTCCTCTTTCACCCCTCTTGTTTGCGCTTGTGTTGGAACCTTTGGCAGTGGCAATTAAATCACATCCGGATATATATGGCTATCCATTATTAATTTCACATTTCAAAATAAGCATGTATGCTGATGATGTTATGCTTTTTCTTACTAACCCGTTAACCTCATTGCCTAATTTATGTGCCGTATTGAACGATTTTGCTATAGCGTCAGGTCTCACTGTTAATTTTACCAAATCTGTGATTATGCTTGTTAATGTTCCTGATTCCCTAAGTGCATATCTCCGTAGTTCTTTTCCATTTCGTTGGGTCATGGATCGTATAATCCTATTTGGGTGTTAATCTCACTCCCAGATACTCGGATATGTTTGGTGCTAATTATCCACCATGTGTATCATGTCTCTCTACTCTATTAAAGATTTGGCATGCTTACCATATTTCCTTTCTGGGTAGAGTCACGGCGGTTAAAATTAATATCTTGCCTAAACTACTTTATCTTTTTAGAGCACTTCCAGTCCCGGTCTCGAAAACGTTTTTGGACCACTTTCAGCGGACTATTAACAATTTTATCTGGAGTAATAAGCATCCACGTTTTGCTTCATCTATTTTGTACCGCTCACAACAGACGGGAGGGTCTCGTTCTTCCCAACTTTTGGCTATATTACCTCTCGGCTCGTTTTGCGCAACTATCACAATGGGCAACTATTAACTCTCAGACCCCATGGATCAAATTTGAATCTCAGTCTATATGCCCATTATATTTACCGGGTATTCTGTGGTCCAAAATCTCCCCCCGATCGCTTACTTTCCATAACTCCATAGTGACCCATTCACTGACGCTTTGGTCCAAATACAAAATTAAATTGAATCTAGTCTCTCTTATTCCCCCAGGTGTTTCATTTTTTTTTGGTGATCCTACTTTTGTTGCAGCTTTTTCCTCCGCTCAAACATTTTGTTGGTGGTATGATTGTTCCCTTATCAGATTATCTGATTTCCAAAGAGGAGGATCGTACATTACCTTTGATATGCTGCGCGCGTTTTTTGATATCCGTCTTCGTGAGTACCATCGTTACCGACAGATTAGACACTTTTTTAATTCACATTTTGGCCTTATACCATCCTCCCCGATTTCCTTTTTTGAACGTATCAGCCGTGACTCTCCCAGAGCTAGGGGTCTTATTTCTGATCTTTATCATCAATCTTTGACCTGTCTTTCTCATACACCCCCTTTATACAGACAAAAATGGGAGGAGGATAGTGGTATCACCTTTTCGGATGAGGATTGGGATTCCATGGTGGATAACATATGTAAGTGTTCTAGATCTCTTTCTGTTCATGAGACGGCCCTTAAGGTTTTAGCCAGAGGGTATTACACCCCATCAAGACTACATGTACTGTTCCCAAGAAACGTCCCCCTTCTGTTTCCGGGGCTGTGGCCTCACAGGAACTTTGGTTCATATATTTTGGGATTGCCGATCATATTTTTGATTTGGTACAAGATATCTGAGGTGGCTACCTCACTGGCGGGTACCCAGATACGATTGTCTATACAGACCTGTTTATTGGGGGCTCATATCCTGGGGGTCTCTGATGCCATTATGAGATTGATACATACTATATGTATTGCCACTTTATGGTCTATTGCCTTACATTGGAAGTCCAATGCTGTACCCTTGACCTCCATTTTACACAGAATTGATACTGTAATGCTCATGGAACGCATTCATTATACCCTATTGGATAAGATGCACTTATTTGATAAAAAATGGGAGTCATGGAGGAATTATAGACATTTATTGCATGATTAATAACATTCCCAGTGAAAGTTGAATGGCATATACTGTTGACAGATGTATCATTTAACCTACCTTATCATTTACACATTTCATATACTCGCAATCTATTTTTTTCTATTCCTTCTCTCTCTTACATTAATATACTTTTCTGTATTGTACTATTCAAAAGTGCCTTGTTTTTGCTGTAAGTTTTATGCGAAAATGTACTGTTGTTTTACAGTCTACTTTTATACAATAAAATCGTTTGTAAAAAAAAAAGAAAAAGCTTTGCATGATAGCTAATCAGCTTCTAACTGCAGCTTATTCAATTAAGCTTTTGACAATAAAACCAGGAAGCTGACTGGTTTATGTGCAGAGCTGTATCAGATTTTGCACTCTCCAGTTTTAGTAAATCAACGTCCATGTATCTGAAAGGTGAACCTGAACTGAATGATTAACTTGAGAAAGATCTGAAGCACACTAGCCAATTGAAAGAATGGCAAAAAAAATAAAAAATAGTCAAAGCCCTGATTTGATTTCCAATTAAATGCTGTGATAGTATTTTAAAGTAGCAGTTAATGCAAGTAAACCCACAAACAAAATAGCCAATTTCAAAGACTGGGGAGCATTTGGGAAACATGGCTTAAAGGGGAAATATCAGTATATGAAGCCAAAGGTATATCAGTATTAGGCCTCATTCACATGGGGGCACATTAATGCATACCATGTGCGAGGGAGATGTTTATCTGCACAAGGCATACACAGATGTTCCTTGCATCTCTGTACAGGCAGTAACATTGATGACAAATGGACCCATAATGTTCTCTCCACTTTGTCTAACAAGCAACAGGTGGAGACCATCATCAGTTTGGAAGCTCCTAAGTTATTTTATCCTTTCCAACTCTGTATTGTAAATAACTTACCAAAGATTTACCCACCTATTGGAATGCAAAGAATGCATCACTTGGGAACTTGATGAAGGACCTCTGGGACCATATTTCCTTCCCCTCCCCTTCTTCCTCAGTCATTGTATTTACATTTTGAATTATATTGATTCATAAGGCTTTATTATACAACTTTTGAAATCTTTGCATAAAAATTACATAAAATAAAAATTGCACTTTATACGATATACCGTATTTTTCGCTCCATAAGACGCACTTTTTTCCCCCAAAAAAGGGGGGAAAATATCAGTGCGTCTTATGGAGCGAATATACAGTATAGCAGCCGGTCTGGTATGTCTGCCGCCACCATGTCAGAATACCAGGCTGGCCGCTCAGCTGTTCTTACCTGTTCCTTGGTCCAGCGCTGCAGTCTTCTCGCACCGGCTTCTTCCCGCCCGGCATCTGTGACAGCCGGGTGCCCACTGAGCATGCGTGAGAAGCGCTGCGCTTTGTGAATGGTCCGGCGTCTCATGACAGGTCCCAGAAGATGCCAGGCCATTCACAGCTCTGCGGAACAGGATAGCTCCACGGAAGTGGGAGCGGGTATCTGTCAAATTCAGGTACCCGCTCCCCCTCCCTCCCTAAAGGTCCGCAGTGTCTGGTCATGCCCTGTACTGTCTGCAGTCTCTGGTCATCCCCTGTACTGTCCGCAGTCTCTGGTCATCCCCTGTACTGTGTCTGCAGTCTCTGGTCATCCCCTGTACTGTGATCCACAGTCTCTGGTCATCCCCTGTACTGTCCGCAGTCTCTGGTCATCCCCTGTACTGTCCGCAGTCTCTGGTTATCCCCTGTACTGTCCACAGTCTCTTGGTAATCTCCTGTACTGCCTGCAGTCTGCATCCCCTGTAGTCCGCAGTCTCTGGTCATCCCCTGTACTATGTCCGCAGTCTCTGGTCATCCCCTGTACTGTCCGCAGTCTCTGGCATCCCCTGTATGGTGTCCACAGTCTCTGGTCATCTCCTGTACTGTGTCCGCAGTCTCTGGCATCCCCTGTACAGTGTCTGCAGTCTCTGGTCCATCTCCTGTACTGAGTCCGCAGTCTCTGGTCCATCTCCTGTACTGTGTCCGCAGTCTCTGGTCATCTCCTGTACTATATCCGCAGTCTCTGGTCATCCCCTGTACAATGACTGCAGTCTATGGTCATCTCCTGTACTATGTCCGCAGTCTCTGGTCAATTCCTGTACTATGTCCGCAGTCTCTGGTCATCTCCTGTACTATGTCCACAGTCTCTGGTCCATCTCTTGTACTGTGTCTGCAGTCTCTGGTCATCTCCTGTACTGTGTCCGCAGTCTCTGGTCATCTCCTGTACTATGTCTGCACTCTCTGGTCATCTCCTGTACTATGTGCACAGTCTCTGGTCACTTCCTGTACTATGTCTGCAGTCAATTGGTTCAGAATATTTTTTTTCTTGTTTTTCTCCTCTAAAACCTAGGTGTATCTTATGGTCAGGTGCGTCTTATGGAGCGAAAAATACGGTAATTTTAATCAGAAGGTTTTGTCAGTTATATTTTGGGTTAAATATTTAGGGCTGCAGAATTTACAGAAAAATACATTTTTTCACAATTTTTACTATATCTTCCTAAAAAACCTAGGATATGAAAATATATGCATTCAAATCCGAGACAACCTCAAGGGGATTATGTAGAGAGAATTTTGCTCAGAGGTTCAAATGGTTGAATGAAAAATATAACAGTGTTTCGAATTTTATGTTTTAATTAATAGCTTATAAACTGATATTTCATATCTGTGTTCTAATGATATGTTTAATGCTTTTTTTTACAAATAACCATTTAATAAAATTTACGTACATAAGGACATGGCGTTTGCAGAGCATTCTGGACTTTTTGGCAGTCAGGGTATAACTACAATTAAGCCAGATGGTGCAATCTCAGCTAACAGGGTTAATAATAATTTTAACAATTGTTCCAAAAATAATTCACGCTATCATTTCACATTCCCCACATCTCCATATCACCATATATCATGTATGATTTTCAAAAAATAGATCAACAGCCTAAAAGTTTGAAGAGCAAAAATTAGCCAGTGGCCAGCAGTAGGACACCTTGGCGAACAGTTTTGTATATGGTATGGCAGGGGGTTCCGGGGTGCAGAGAGTAAAGCTTGTTATACACTAGTAGAATTGTGTTTATGTGTTGTATGTGGTTTTTGTTTGGGAAATGACATCTAATCCAAAATGATACTTTTGAACGACATTTGTCCAGTCATCAAATGCATAAAAAACTTTCTTATGACTGTTCCTATGAATATTTGTACAGGCATTCATTTGAAAAATCTACAAGAGTATAGCCAGCTTAAGAGTGGACAGTTTGTGGGACATCATTCTGGGCCTAGAGACACAGGGATGTTGAGACGAAGGACACACCTGCTTGTCAGGTATCAGGTCTCTGGTTTCTAATCTTTCTCTGTCTAAACCTGAATTGTTGAGATCTGTAAGCCATGCACTGCCATCGTTTGGAGTGGATGGCTTGTTATATTGAACATGTTAACTCATAAAGCATGCAAAAAAAAAAGGGTGCATGCGCGGGCCGGCCTCTTAGATGGACGCGCTTTGAGTGCAGCACCGTCCATCCCGCCAGCACTGAAACGGCTCACACAGGCCCTGGAACAAACAAATTAGATACCCACCCTCCTGAAGTGTGCCTGCACCTCCACGATCATGCCCCGCAGGAGAAAAACCCCGGGGCAGCCGGGGAAACTCACGCAATTCTTCCAGCCGTTGTGCCGGGAATCCAAGATGGCGTCGGTGGCAGCAGGCAGAGAGACAGCAGCAGCCATGAGGGGGACTACAGGACCCAGCAAACAGACCCCAGGCTGAAGCAAGCACTATACCCAGGGGACCCTGGTGAGTTGTCACCCCCATTGTCCCCCACCACTAGCAGCCCGGCCAAATCTCGGCCACGACTAGATCATGACCAGGCCCCCTCAGGTTGGAGTGGGGAGGAGCCTGAACATGGCGGCAGTGGGGAGTGAGCGGCACTAGCTATCGGCTAGGTTCCGCTCCCCGACCTCCCTAGTGACCCTTAGGAACTGACCAACCGGAGTCTGGAGGACGTGGAACAGAGCCTGGAGAGCCGGAGATGGGAGCCGGACGAAGGGTGCAGTGAAGCACCCGGCCCCTCCGGTGTTTTCATGAGAGAGGGATCCGGACGGCTGGAGGACGAGGTGACGTGCGGGGGCGTGGTGTCAGCCGCGGAGGACCTCTGGGAGAATAGGAAGCCGGCCGGCCCGCCTGAGTACTGACAGGGAGAGACGCCGGCTTAGGTTACTGGCTCTCTGTCGCCCACAAACCCCCCCGGCTAACTACCTGGCTGCCTACAAACCCCGGCTATCTACTGTCTGTAGCCCCCAGTCTACTGCTGCCTGGGGCCCCCGGCCAGCTGACTGCTCGGTCCTGGGCCAGGGAAACCAGGGAGTACCAGAGAATCCACCCTGCATCCCTTGGACGAAATCCTGACAGAGAAATGGAGCTACAGCGTTGGAAGCCCAGAGGAACCCCCCCAAGGACAGAGTTGTTGTGAAGGCCCTCCACCCAAGCTTGGAGCTACCGGTCTGGGAAGAGAAGGTGAGTGAGAGCTGCTGGGGGTCTATTGTCTATTGTATAGTTGACTCCTGAGTGACATTGGGGACCAAGGGGTTAAGGAGGAGAGGGGAGGATTCCCTGGGTTCAGAAGAGAAGAGTCCCACGCGCCCTAAGGAGAGCATAAGCAAAATTAGTAAACCTGTCTGGACCATAAATCATAAGGGGAGAGGTACAATTCCATCTAGAGAATATAGAAGACAGAGGACTTATAGAGGATATGAAGAATAAAGGTCCTAAGGGAGCAGGGCTCAAAGGGTCTCAATCAGGCACGATAAAGAAATTTACATCATATGGAAACATTACGCCAGAAAGGGCCCAAGGCGCAAGTGCTAAAGGGGAAATGGACACTAGCTCAGGAAACAGTCCGAGACTATCACTGGGTATGAACAGCAGTTGTAGCCAACAAATAGCGGATGGCCTGGGAAAAAAAGAACTTGATGGTGAACTACAAGTACCGAATAAGAAGGAGATGATAGAAATGTTTCAAAGTTTGGAGAAAACGATAAAACATGAAATGACAGCTATTCGAAACGACTTAGGCCATCTGCTATCGAGAATGGAAGAAACAGAGGAGAAAGTCAAAACCCAGGTCCAAACCATAGATAATCTAAGGAAAAAAATAACCCATTTGGAGAAAACCCAGAAAAAATTGTTTTATAGGATGAAAAATTCAAGAAAATAAAGAAAGAAGGTGTAACCTTAGGGTGCGAGGGAATTCCAGAGTCTGCAAAAGGGGAAATATATTATATGAACTAGTTAATAAAATCTTAAAACTCCAAAAGAGACAGACCTGAAACAGAAGTGATTTAACTGGATAGAGTGTTCATGATAGAAAATTTAAATCAAGATACTGAGAGGGAAAGATCGAGAGATATAGTTGTCCAGTTCCAGAAATTTGGGGTCAAAAATGAGGATTTGGAAGAGAAGATCAAGGGAAGATCGTTAATTAAGTATGGGAGATTTGACTATTCAAATTTTTGCGGATTTAACATCAGAGACTCTATGGAGAAGGAGATCCCTGGAGACCCCTGCTAGAGCAAATGAGAAAACAGAATGTGCAATATAGAGATGGGGTACTTCGGCATCTCTAATTGGCTGGAAAAATGGGGTCACAGCATACCTGAGATTCCTGGAGGAACTGAGAGATTTTTGTGATAGACTGGATTTTGCAAAGAATGGAGATAACTGGGTGGAAGAAGAAGAAGAAAAAGGAGATGTACGGATGATACAAGACAGGAGGACTGGCAGCTGGGTCGGGGGGAGGGGGGAGGGAGGTTCTGGGGTTGGGGAGAAGGGGGAGGGAGGAATTAAGTAAAATATATATGCTTTTTCTTTTTTCTCTCTTTTTCTCTCTGCCCCTTTGTTTCCCCCTTGTTGAAGTGGAAGTCCATCTGGAAGCTCCAGTTAAGGGAGGGAAGTAAAGGTTATTGCTGAGGCCTAGTTGATAGAGAAAGGGGAGCCTAGGGAGTTTCGGAGGAGAGGTGAGCCGTCCATGGGCAGAGCTTACGCCCCAATATTTTAAATCAACAGTGGAAAACAGCTCCACAAAATGAATTTGTAGGCAGTTTTTAAGCCTAAAAATGGGTATGGGGAAAAAATAAGAGAGGGGGGGGCGCGGGGCGGGAGGGGGGAGACGGGGGTTGGGGTTGGGGGAGGGGGGGGACGGGGCGGTAGGGGCTAATATTCTGCAAGATATTCGGGCCTAATAAAGGAGGAGACGAATTAGAAGAGAGAGAGACAGAATTAAGAAGGATGGAAGAAATACAGTTTATAACATATAATGTGAATGGGTTGAATTGTCCTGGGGGAAAAGATTTAAGATGTTTAAAAGAGTTACAATCACAGGGCAACGTCAGTGGTATTTCTACAGGAGACACATTTTGAGATAGAAATCAAATGTGAAATTAAAAGCCAAATATTATCCAACATGGTATTACGCTGACTCTCCAATCAAAAGAGCAAAGGGGGGTGGGCAATAGGATTGGCAAAGAATATGAGATTTGAGTTAGAAGATAGAAGACTTGACCCGGAAGGGAGATTCCAGTTTTTGAAGGGTAAAACTACAGGGAATTGAATGTACACATAGCCAATATATATTGCCCCAACAAGAAACCTGAGATCTTTTTGAAGGGTTTGTTAAAAAAATTGATAGACTTTAAAAAAAGGGCGTCTTGATAATAGCAGGAGATATAAAAATCTTTGTATGGGACCCACAAAAGGATACAACCTCCCTTGTGCAGAGAGAGGGGTGGTAGGTCTCTTTGAGCAGAGCCTTAAAGAAGGCGATCCACGAGTACCAACTGGTGGACACCTTGGAGAATGAAGCATATGAAAGACAGAGACTATACACCTTCTTCTCTAATGCACATGAGATATACTCGAGACTGGATTATATTCCTAATAGATCATCAACTCATTGAAATGCTGGTTAAAATAGAAATAGAGACAAGAACTTTTTCGGACCATTGCCCCAGTCATAATGAAAATAGGATGGGGGAAAAAAGGTGGACGGG